GTTATCCCTTCATGCTCTGGACTAACAGAGCAATGAGCTTCCTGCGTTTTTGTTGCCCTCCTCCCCTCCAATGGTAAATCCTACATTGCCCCTGCGGTTTCATTTTACTCTCCCCCCACCTGCTGAACTAAAGGTTGCTTGTGGATATCGGACAGGATTTTCCCTGTGGGCTGCACAGTGATACACAGGAGATTTTCTTGGAAGGGCAGTCGCTCAGCCAGATATCATGAGGGATGGCCCTAGAGGAGTTTTGACAGACTGGGTGTTTTGGGGCTGTAACAGAACAGGCTGGTGATTCTCCATCCTCCTGACCCTTGCTGTGTCCAAGTAAGGAAGGGAGTCTAATGCAGGGTCAGGAAAAGCCCTGCCTCCTCTGTCAGGTATGGTGAGGTATTTTCAACACCAGTGTGTTCCTCTTTCCTCCAACGATGTGTTGTGTATCAGAACCCAGGATTGCATATTTCAGTGTTTTTTTGAATTCTTTCTATCATGCCAAGAGAAGATAAAAGAGTTAAATTTTTTTTCTTCTTGTCGTTTTCCAAACTTACAAAGGAAGCCAAGTCAGGTTCTGTACAGGCTCTCTAACGAGTCCTGCAGCACTCTGATGTGAAATGTGCTTTCTTCTGCATGCGTGTTGTAATGTTACTGAGGTTTCTGCCAGGTTTAGTGCATTTTTCCAAGCTGAGCAAAATCTGTTCTTCTGCCACAGGAAGGTGCAAAGAAAGAATTTGTTGACTAAAAGCAGTGTAATTCAGCAGAAGACTCTGGACTTTCTGTTTCACAAATCACATTACTTGAAGAAAGAAATCGAAACATTTTGCTGCTTGCCCCAAGAATAGGGAGCTAGATTAAGTTAGTGCACAATATGTTGTTACACATTCTAGCATTGCAGCTGCTTGGACTTCATGCCTTTTAGTAATACATGAAAATTGTACATGGAGATAGTTCCTGCTGGAATAGACAGCTCCCTGGCTTCTATGCCAAAATCTGTTTGGTTTTTTTTTTTAAAAGGTCTAAATATTGTACTGATTACATGAGTTGCTGAAAATATGTGTCTCTCAGAGAGGGTATATGACTAAATATTTTTAAAGAAGCAAATTAAAATCTCTCTGCTTGTTATTTCTTTATAGTATTGCTAAGTAATGGATGCTGAGAAGAGGTATGTTGACTAAGAAAAACTGAATTTTTAAAATGTAGTCATAGACTAGACAGTTTTCTCTATTAACAATTATCCTCACTGTGATTCCTGCCCATTTTTATGTCTAACTGTGCTAAGCATATATTAAAAATATTTAATAGGATCCTTTTTGCTTGCATCACTGAGCTGTAATACAAATAATGAAATTAGTAGGAGAGTTAGAGTCACTTCTTGTTTGCCTGAAACTCGGGCTAGAAGTTGTTTTGTTCCCCCATCCACCCCTCTGGGAGAGGATCATCTAATTGTTCAAACCCTTTCTCCACCCATCAAAAACAGTCATTTATGCAAAGTGGGACAGTTTCCTATGGGATCTCCTGTGGGAATCTGAAAGCAGTCTCATTGAATATTTTACTGTCTGCTTCATGTTGCTGACAGAGTAACTATTTTTTGTTTGAGGGCTAGAAAAATAGGACTTCACTCTTAGGCATTTTGCCTAAATATATTTGTTTAAATACAAGTCTGGCTAAACAGATACATATATAAAAATGTAATGCTGACTGATTTTTTTATAGGCTGCATACAGGTTTGTGTATTAATCTGAAGATTGCAAAAAAGACAACAGCAGTGAAGGAAGACAAATAAAACAACACCAGGATTTAAAAGAAGTTTGTTGATTCCAACACATCCATCAGCAGATAGAATACATAATAAAAAGTGCATGGGCTTGGATGTAGAGAGTGTCTGATAAGTGGGTAACAACTCAATTTCCTTTAAACTGTTGCCAGACTGCCTTTTGGAGAGTGTTCTCTTGTTTGGCCTAGGTTTCTGTTTCATCCCCACCTTGTGAATAAACAGACTCTTCAAGGGCTGGTGGTCACTTAACTGTTGGAAATTCTAACTCCCACTTTCCCAGAAGGGCACGTGGATTTGGGGAAGAAAGATGCAGACTGTGTCATCTGCTGACTCTTGGTTTAATCTTTATTTTGCACTTCCAGCTGATAAGACCACTTTGTGCAGGAGTAATACAGGAAATGATGCAGTACAGAAACCAAGAGTGGCAGAAAGGGAAATGGAATGTACTGGCAAGGGCTCAGCCCTGCAGACAAGCTCTCTGCTTCTTGGAAATGAAAATCTCCACATACATTGTGGTTTGGGTTTTATTTGTTTGGTTTTGTTATTGGTTTTTTTCCTTTGTCTATTTGTTTGTTTTTTGGTTTTTTTTAGCTTAATATTGGTTTTGGAGCTTAGAGAAACTAGTGTACAGCAGCCTGTGAGTTTTGTCCCCCTTCCCTTATCGTGCTGCTTGTTCAGGGTTTGGGGTATGCTTAGGCTTTGTTTTGGAGGCAGGGCTTGAACAGGAATCCCTGGCTGGAGGCTGGTGCCCAGCTGGGTCCTGCTGAGCTGCTTTACTTCCAAGCTCGCCTCCGAGCACTGTGCCTGATGCTGTTCAACCTGCTCCCAGCAGCTGCTGCCACAGAGATGCCACCATGGCTTTGATGTTTTGGAGTGCATGGTTGTGGGAGTGGGATGTGTGTGTGCTGTAGGATTTGATCCAAAAACTTGAGAGAATCTTTTCCTTTGGTCTGGCTGCTTGGGGCTGCATCTGAGCATCGTCTTAGTCTGTGCAGAGCTCATGTGCTAGCCCACGGTAGGGCTGTATTTTCAGGCACTGATAGAAACATACAGTCTTAGCAGACAGGACTTTTCCTTTTTCACAGCAAGTAGCTTGGTGAAAAATGGGTCTGGCCTAGGTAGAACCACATCTGCAAATATTACCAATGTTGAATGAAGCTCGGGTTGAAATGTAGACTTTGTACTTCCTCCTTTATCAGAGCTTCAACTCAAGCCTTTTAAATCTTTTTTGTTTAGCTCAAATGGAAGTGAAAGAGAAGGCTTTACTTGATATACTACTGGAACTTGTAACTTTTGTGTGTGGAACTTGAATCTTTTGTTTGAGAAGTGCAGAAAAAAGATACTTAGAATATTGATTGAGATACAGACTATATATGAATTGAGAATAACTCAGTTACAAATATATTTGAAGCACAAGCACTAGAGTTCTGGTAATTCAGCTCTTAAATTAGCCCACCATTTTAATAGAGCACTTTACAGTGCATGTAAGGATAAAGTATACCTGGAGTACAGTCACTGACAATAATGGAGTTTCAGTTCATTTAACAGTATAGCACATGCCCACATAACAAAACAAATGCTTAAATTTACCACAGGCTCATGCAAATCTTCCCTTGCATTAACATTATTATTTCAAATACAGTTTTTAGCATAAAAGAAATGGGATGTACCAGTTTGAAGTGTAGGTAAATATGGCCTGTGTCTTAGTCCATAATCATTATTCACATAAATGTAGTTTACACATTGAGTCTAATGAAACTGAACCTCTGCAATTAGATAACTCTTATAGTGACAAGTTAATTTGAATAAAGTTGATGGCTTTCAGCTTAAAGCTCTTCAAATATAGTGATATACTGTGCAACCATTGCAGTGTATGACAGTCAAGAGAATAAGTATGCCATAGCATTTGCAATTTTAAAGTCTGCAATCTTTTCTTGATATAGCTGTGAAATCCTGTCTGATGTGGGTGTGCTGACACCTTCTATTCTCTGTGTGTATGGATTGCTGGTTGGTTGGGTGTTTTTTGTGTTGTTCTGATGGCTACAACAACATTCATATCCTTTTCCCCTTCCCCCTTCCTCTGCAACCTGTTGGTATCCAGTCCAGGATATGTTTCCTGTCTTGTCTGTCTATTTGAAAATCAGTGGTGTGGTGCTCTTTGTCTGATTTTCTCCTCCCTGCCAGTCCTGGTCTCTTCTCTTTCCCTTGCCAGAGCCTTTTGCCTGCTCCCAGCCTGGACAAGGACAAAACTTGCTGCTCACAGCTGGGACCCCTTCAAATGTGGCATTCTTCCCCCTCTTGACCCGTTGCTTCAGTCCCATTCCTTGTCTCCCAGCTTGAGGACTACTGTTCTGTCTAAAATCCTCTTATCTGGACTTCCTTGTCCTTCCCACTCCTTCATAAGTCCTTGAGTATATCAGGCAGACATTGCAGCACGAAGGCTCAGTGGATAATCGGTGAAGTTCACCATAGCTTTCCCTCACAGGCTGCTTAGAAGCTCTGAAGGCTCTTGGGTGGGGTGGGCAGATGCAGTTTTCTTTCTCATATGAATGAGTGAGGGCTAAGATCTTCACTTTTTTCCGTGTTCGTTTTTTTTGTTGTTGTTTGGGTCTTTTGGTTGGTTGGTTGGTTTGGTTTTTTTTGTTGTTTTTTTTTCCCCTTTGTTCCTCAAAGTAAGTAGGAGGTAAAATGGAACTGTTTTTTGGTTTTTCTTTTTTCTTTTTTTCAGATTGAATTATGCTCAGGTCTAGTGCAGTGATTTTTGAACTTCATGCTGGAAGTTTGGAGAGAGCTGGGCAGCACATTGCTGTTGAGGAGTATTGCTTCCAGCTGCTCTCTAAAATAAATGATAAAAAAAGCACTAGTGATCCTGTACTGTTTCCTTGGGATGTTTTGCTGTTCAAGGTTGCAACAGCTGACAGGCAGATTGTAGCACTCCTCACACTAAATAGTGAAAAGTTTAAAATTGAGGGACTGTTTTAGGCTAGATTCGATGTGAACTACGTTTTTAATGTACTGGATTCATCAGCAGGTCCTGCTGCTTAAGTTTTCATCAGGTGCTCCTTGAGTCCAGTCCTGGAGGTTGTCAGTGTTTGTTGTTGCTTTGTTGTTGGCTGTTTTTCCATCACACCACTCTTCTGGGTTAAGGTGGGGGGATATTTTTAACTGTTGTATGTTAACTTGAAAGATAAAATCCTTTTTTTTCTCTTTCTCTGATACTATCCTTTAGGTTGTCAACCAGAAGGATTTAGAATAATGAGAAGGCTGTGACCATCAAGGGGGGATGTCAGCGCTGCCTTCCTGGGACTGGAGGATTGAAAAGGAGAAAGGACCAGAACTGTTTGATCCAGGCTGCTTTTGACTGCTGACGCAAGCTGCTGAACCCTGGTGGTGGTGGAAGAGCAGGGCAGTCATTCCTGATTGCTTCTGTGGTATCACCACAGCAGGGCCACCATGAATGTCACAAGTTTATTCTCCTTCACCAGCCCAGCAGTGAAGAGGCTGTTGGGGTGGAAGCAAGGGGATGAAGAAGAGAAATGGGCAGAGAAAGCTGTTGACGCATTAGTGAAAAAGCTGAAGAAGAAAAAAGGTGCCATGGAGGAGCTGGAAAAAGCACTAAGCTGTCCTGGTCAGCCCAGCAACTGTGTGACAATTCCTCGTTCCTTGGATGGCCGGCTGCAGGTGTCACACCGGAAAGGGCTCCCACACGTCATTTACTGCAGAGTGTGGCGCTGGCCGGACCTGCAGAGCCATCACGAACTGAAACCTCTGGAATGCTGCGAGTTCCCCTTTGGTTCGAAACAGAAGGAGGTTTGCATCAATCCCTACCACTACAAGCGGGTGGAAAGTCCTGGTAGGTTCTTCCTTGTTTGTGCCTTTACACCTTATCTGAACAATGCAAAGTGTGGCAATTAATCATGTGACTCATTGGCTTAAATAAGCAAAAGTGGCTGTTTGCACATGTCAGATTCTTCCTCTGCACTTTATCTGGATGTAGGCATTAATTAGCAGTTCTCCCTTCCACAGAGTGAATGCTTCACTTGTGTAAATGTTTTATCACTGCACAGAGGTGGTTTTAGTATGTGCCTCAGGCTGCTGGGCCTGGTATCATCTGGGAATGTTGGTACCCACTATCCCTCGGTTAATTTGTTATCAACTGTGCAGATCTGTGATTTTGTATGAAACATTGCAAGCTAACATAAAGGATTTATTTGCATTATCTGTGCTTGAAAACCATTCTGACACACAGCAGTAGTAATATAGTATTTATTAGTAGCAGTAGCATTTTCAAATTATTATTTCATTTTATCACTTGTTTCTTCATTCTACAGAAAATAATATTGTTTTTAGTATCTCTCAGAATTGTTGCCTTTTAAAAAGACTTTGAGTTTAGACAGCAGATTATAATCACCTCAGTTTGAACTTCGATAGCACTGTTTGATTGTATGTGAAGTTCTCCTGTCAGCTGTTCTGCAAACACAGTTTGCTTACCTGTTACCCACTGCCTCACTTCTTTTGTGAAGGTGCCACCCATTCTCTTTTCAGTCTCCTCTTCAAGGGCCAAACCTCTTTTTGATGACTCTGTGCTTAATTTCACTCATGCAAGTTTATTATACTTCCAGGGACTAAGATGAGCTGTGCTTGGATATGTCATCACTGTTCTCCAGCTGTTTGTGAGGCTGTACAGGGACAGCTGCAGAAATGCACTGCAGGCATGGGTGGACTTCCCTGGTTTAAATGTGGGAAGTCCATCAGTGATAGCCAGTTCATAAATTCTGCAGCTGTCTGTAGAGTGGCAAGGATACACAGAACCATGATGGAAATGAGGGGATATTGTTTTGCTGTGGATGGAAATTGCATTTGTTTGGATCTGCAATGCACAATGCATATCTTGATGTTAAATATTTCCCTTTGCTGTGCTAGTATTAACTTGGAAATCATGTGAATGGCAGATGTAATACCCATAATGTATGCATTTACATAGCAGCAGCTTGAACAAAGGAACTCAGCTTTGGAAAAACACTTCTGAAAAAACTGAAAATTAAAAAAAAATCTCAATAATTTAATGTTAAGTAAAAGAGGGATAATAAAATAGTAATGTACTTGTACTGCTAACTGTGTGCATATGTCTGGGTTGGTTGCTTGCATTCAGTATTCCAAAATACTGAAAATTAAGATTCCTGAAACACCTCTCTTTCTATCAGACTGAGCAACAGTTGGGCTCTTATTGTAATGCCAGATTACATGTTCTAACTCATTTTGCTTTAGTATTAATAGCAATGACTGAGTTTGAGAACATTCTCATATGGACCATTTATGTAATATTTAAAAAACCAGGTATTTGTAAATATCCTGTCACTTCACAGAATCACAGAACCACTTAGGTTGAAAAAGACCTCTGAGATCATTGAGTCCAAATTTTCACCAGACACGACCATGTCAACCAGACCATGGCATTGAGTGCCACATCCGGTCTTTCCTTAAACACCTTCAGGGATGGTGACTCCACCACCTCCCTGAGCAGCCCATTTCAATGCCTGATCAACTTTCCTGTGAAGAAATTCCTCCTCATGTCCAACCTAAACCTCCCCTGGTGCAGCTTGGGACTCTGTCCATATTCTGTGTTCACATCAATGAGTTATGCAAGATAGAATAAAACTTTGAAAATATGTCTAACTAAAATGTGCATTTTAGGCTGGATATGTAATATAGGAGGGGTTTGTGTTTAGTCAGCCACAGATTGTTTTGAGGGATATTGCATGGAGCTGAGTGGGAAGACAGCTTTTGGAACCAGGTGGCAGCTGAACTTCCATTTGGCTTAGAGAGCTGTGCTCTGTAACTTCTGACTTCTTTTTTCCTGTCCCTTCCTTGTTCTTGCTGTCCTCCAAGCATGGTCTTTATCTTCGTTTCCTGACAGTCACTCCCAAATTCTGCTTACCGTTTTTTCCCATTTTTGCCAGGACATTAAAACACCATTATTGCCACATAAGTGCTTACACTTTGAGATTAATGGGTAATGGGAATTCATGCATGAGTCACCATTTACAACAATCTATGGACTCAAGCAGATATCAAGGTTTGTGTTTCCCAGAAGGCTTAGAAATGAGCTTTCTCTTGACAAAGCAAAACTGGAAACTCAGATTGTGTATGGTGCATGTTTGTTGTGCAAGGTACATCATGAAGTTCTGGCTCTGCTTGACAGCGTGGTCTCTGTTTAACTGTTTTGTTAACTGGTTTTGTGCAGAACCAGTTAGTGGAGGTCTGAAGGGTATGATCCAAGCATGAGATGGCATCTATCCCTTCATTCTTCTGCTGATTGTTGTGTGATTTGTTTCAGTCTTGTGTAAGGTTTGAGGAACGGATTAGTGGTAAATCCTCAAATATGTAAAGTAAAGTAATGCTCTTTGTTGGGAAATCAGTGCTGTGGATACATCTCAGTTTCCACAGTGCCAGAGGCATGAATGGATTTTCTACCTTGACACCTTTTTCCATCCTCACTGTTTAGCTTGTGAAGATGAGCTGGGAAAGCATGGGAACTGGCACTCTCTGTGTGTCTACCAGCTACAAAGCTGTACCTGAATCCAATGAGATTTTCCTGTTAGCCAGCCTGAATAGGAACAGGTTGTAAACAGTGAGAGGAGGCAGAAAACTATCAGCAGTCTGAAAGAGGGAATCTCCCAGTGGCCCTGCACACGGAGGGGAGCGTGGCATCTGGCAGGCACATGGGTGTGACATGATAGGACCATGCTCAAGCCTGACCTGACCAGGAGGCTCTGCACAGGCACAGGGGCCTGTCTGATCCTGTGGTGTGTCAGTCAGGAAAGCTGAACTCACAGAAAACTGCTTTTTGGCACAGTTAACTTGGCAAGCTCACGTGGAACCAGATGGAGGCACAGCAGAGTGGGGCCCAGGGTGGAGATGAGGGAGGGTGGCACTCCTGTGACACTGTGACACTCTTCCAGCCTGGAACCAGCGAGCTGATGGAGCTGTGCTCCATGGCAGGGTGCATGGACTGCTCCTGCTCCTGTTGTGCCAGCACAGCTGTTCCTGTGACCTTGTGCTCAAGCAGATCACAGCCACTCTGCCCTGCTGTGTTACCTTTCAGGCTGATCAGGGCAGCACAGGGGCTTTTGTTCTGGCTGCAGGAACATCTGTACCAGCATGGCCCTGTGGAGGACATCTGGGAAGGAGTGGAGGTGGAGGGACCTGAGAGGAGAAAGTAGAGACTTGTTGCTGGGAGTGGGAATGCAGCCTTGCACTTTAGTGCCAGGAGGAAATATCTTCTTGGGATGGGTTAAAGTAGCTCACTGCTGCTGTTCCCTAGGTCTGTTGTGTGCAGAATTATTTCTGGAGCAGGATAGTTAATGGCTGTCAGATTTCTCCCTTGGCAAACAAAGCTTTTAATTAAGGAGGGCAAGGTCTGAATTTGATGCCTTTTAAAAATTGGCATGCTTAGCTGAACTGGTGTGCTTGCTTGGCTGAATCTGCTTCTTCTCAGTTTTACTTTTTGGTTTAGAGATACCTGTTGGGATTATCCTTAAGTATGATCAAGACTTGCTAAATAATGAGGTGTCTTGTATATGCAGAGGCTATGAGGAAAAACCTGACACCATGTTTCTTATCTCTCTGAAAATGACCTCTCAAGTTTTGCTGGAAAATGTATAAAGTCCCTCCTGAGACACTTCCTTCCCACCTTTTGTTCCATAGGTTTCTGTGGAGATACAGCCTCTGCTGCTTGCCTCTGCCCTCAGTTATGTCAATGGGACCAGATGAAAGCTCTCATCCAGAATTTAAGGGGGAAAAAAAGGCCTGGATCCTGTTTGCTCTAACAGCAAAACAAAAAGAATGGAATAGGGAACAGAGAGGATGAAGAGGTGCTTAAATTGACAACACTGCTATTAAAATAATAATAATAATAAGTCACACCTCTAATGTGGCTTTAGGGGAGGAGGTTCAGTTCTTTTGCCTTAGCTAAAGGGAAGGAAGGAAGATGAAGAAACTGAATATTTAATTTTCTTGAAGTGCTTGTGAATACTAGCTGTTCTCCCTTCTGATGCTAAATTGTGTTTGCCTCTACTAAGTGTCCTTGCCCATCATCCTGCTAGGTTCTGGCTTTAAAATATGTTACAAAGGAGGCAAAAGAGAAATTTCCATGTTTTACGTATGGAAGTGGTTGAAGGTGCACTGTGTCTGTAAATGGCTATCCCCCATTTTTTTGCAATTACCTATAAAACATAGATAAAAAGGCTGAATGGTTTTCCTCTGTTAAGCTTCTCTTCTTCAGGGACCTGGCTGCTCTATATCAAGGGGATTTACAAAGCTGATGGTGCCAATGTTCCAGCCAAACTGGGGGCAAGCAGCGGTCACTTTTTGGTGATGCGGCCAAATACGGTGTCATAACAGTTGAATTTTCAATCCTGCCTGAAAATGTGATGTTCCTTTCAATTATAGCCATGAATTCAAGGTGTGTGTCTGCTTCAGCAAGCTTGTTGCTGGCCAGAAACATTTTACCTGTATGTACAGCTGCTTTTTGCCACAAGAACAGGCCAGGTCCCCAGGCTCTGAGGAGAGCGGTAGGTGTGTCATGCTGGTTTTGTCTTGGTGTGGACTCTCTGCCTATGCCTTTAACCTGATCATTTTCATATTTGTCTTTGATCTCCTCTGCATTTTGCTCTCAGTGAGGCTCTGTAAGGCAACACACCTACTGCAGGCTCCCACAGAACCAGGCCTGGTGGAGGATAATACCAGCAGTGCCTGGCATCTGGGAGAAGGGGAGGGGTGGGAGGGGAAGGAAAAGGTGAATGGGAAGCTGCTTCTGGGGTGTCAGGGAGGGCAAAATTGCTCCATCCCTTC